CCACATTTTGGGGGCCACCATCTTGAGAAAAACTGGTTTCAGATTAGATCTATAACAGTCTGTCCATGATAGTATGGCATCTTTGAATCAAAACTGAGCATCTGCAAAGTTACTGCACAAATACTAGAGAATAGTTAACCTTGGAATGCTAAACATGATAATGATTCAAAAATCTCAAGAAACAAATATTGTGATTTTAATACAATACTGGCTGGTATGCAGCTCACAGTGCATGTAATTTCTTTTTCATTTCTTCTGGCTGTTAATTAACCCAGTCATTAAAACAAAAATCATATTAATAACACAGAAAAATGGAACTACAAGTATATGCAGATTGTTTTGCATTGCTTTTAATGGATTGCAGAAATCTGAGGCTATGACTGGAGTTCTCTGATTATAAAATACAGCCCATAATTAATACAGCAATTAATTTACCAGGATTCATTTTTTTAAAAAAGGAACAGACTCCCATCTATTCTTGTTTAAATATTAGCTCAGTTTCAGTAGCTATACTGAATTTTATAATAGAAATTTGAGCAGTGCCTCTCAGATTTTCAAAACCACAGAATCAAGATTAGTTTTAGGTTAAGGTTAGGTTGGCCCTGACCTAGGGTACCAAAACTTAGGGGGCATCAATTCTTCCCCCTTCCAAATCATTCAAATGGTTTTGGTTTTATTCAACCTGTATGCCACCCTATTCCCGAGGGACTCGGGGCGGCTAACAAAACCGAAAGGGAAGGGAAACATTACAAANCAACTCCCAGAATTCCCCAGCCAGCGAATGCTGGCTGGGGAATTCTGGGAGATGAAGTCCGGACATCTTCAAGTTGCCAAGGTTGAGAAACACTGTCATAAATTATAGATTATTTTTACCCATCCATAATTTCTTATTTTTCATCCCACTGTGTAATTGCAATGGGTTGTGTATGAAAAAGAACACAAAAACTGAAGATCTACAGTAGATTGCTTTTGTACAACCTCTTTAACAATTTGTCTCAATTATGGAATTTGGAAGGGATAGTAAATCCTCAGAAAACTAGTTGGAATGACAGAATAATTAGCTACTTGAGAAGTTACTGGAGCATTTGCGGCTGAAAAGCCTGGGTAGTTTGTGAGTTGAGGTTGGAGTTGCAATAGGGTTGGGGACTTAATATTTTCCATTTCTGTAAGTCTTTTAATTCAGGTATGACTAAATTGGAGGAGACAATGGGAGATTTTAAATGATTATTAAAACCACTTGGAAACGGCTTCCATAAATAAACATGCAATTTAAAGCATTAATCAAGGCTATTTTGACTCTTAAATGATTGGTCTGCAAAACCCACTAAGATTTAGTGACAAATGTAATGAATTTCATCTCCACTGCTTACCATTTAGGGCAAAAATAGGCATGTTCTGAGAATGGAAATTAATCACTTGTATGTCTTCGAAATTTTGCTAAAGCATAATGACTATATATATCTCCATTTCAGTGATGGGATTCAATTTTTTTACTACCGGTTCTGTGGGCATGGCATGCCTTGGTGGGCATGGCATAGTTTGGTGGGCGTGGCAGGGGAAGGATACTGTAAAATCTCAATTCCTTCCCCACTTCAGGGGAAGGTTACTGCAAAAATCCCATTCCCTCCCGATCAACTGGGATTCAGGAGGCAGAGAAAAGTTGGGGCGGGCTTAGTCAGAGGTGGTATTTACCAGTTCTCTGAACTACTCAAAATTTCTGCTACTAGTTCTCCAGAACTGGTCAGAACCTGCTGAATACCATCTCTGCTTCATTTCTATGGTCTAACTAAAAAGATATCAGTAGTAAGAATTGGGAGACTAATAAACTGAATTACTTCTGTTCCTACTTGACTGCTGGGATAATAAGCTGATGCTACATACAGTTTTAATTTTTGAATTAGTACAGAATATATTGCTTTGTAATGATTCCAAGAAACCAATCACCTTACTTACGCCTCTTGATCTGAAATAATCCTATTCCATAATAATGTTAGCAGATCCAGGTAGTTATTAAATTCCTAGCAATCATCTATTCTCCAATTACTTTACTGCTGTATGACAGACAGTATATTTGAAGAAATATTGCAACTGCATGCTGTAGCATTGTAATTGCACAAACGATGTAATTACACAGAAATTCACTATGTCATGATTATATATGCTAATTGTAAGTTGGATGCACTCAAAATTACTCTGACAAAAAGATTGTGTAACTGGCATGTAGAGAAGATGAAGCATGATGGAAGATTTTTATTTTTTTATATGCAAATTAAATTAGGTACTTTTGTTCCAAGCAATACATTACCTGCAATTTTAATTTTGTAACTTGAAAATAATTAGGTAGGAATAGTATTGAAATCCAGTGGGAGTAGAAAGCACTCCAACCACAGTATGAAAAACCTTAACAAAAGGAAGATTTGGGACGATTCTGTATTTAATGATGTATTATGGAATTGTCAGTGAACATCTGTAAAGTCTACCTTGGTGAAGAGGTACCTAAATTATTATTGACATAGTTATTCATAAGCATTTTCTTTCTACTAATACAGCAAAATGGTATTGCTGATTTTCTAGTGAATTCAATAAAAAAGGAGAGCTAATTGCTAGAGTCACAGTGAAGGAAAATCTAGCAGAATCCATCCAACTAATCTTCCCAATAAAGTAGTTCATATTTACTTTTACTTAAATAAATTCCCTTATTTCATTTCCCTTTAAAGTATCTTCTAGAACCAACCCCAAGCCATCTACAAAGTCTTTTTAAAACTTTATTTCGACAATCCTCTCTTCTTTTAGGTCCCTATTCTGTATTTCAAGAACCAAAATAAACAGAAGGAACAATGAACAGCCTTGTTTTGTTCCTTTTGTATTTTGCATGCTTTTGTTAGATCTCCAAAAACTTTTTCTGAACTATAAATTTTACCCATTTTATAAAATTGTCTTCAAAATTTATATCTCCCAAACTTTAAATAGGAGAATCAAAAGAAAAATGGCAATTGGATTAAAAGAAAGGAATTTTCAAGGCACTTGAAAGCACTGATGGGAAATAATTTCATTTTAAATGACTGACATGAGAAAGAACACCAAATTTCAAATTAATCAACATCAGTGCTCAAATCCAAAGAAAGACCTGACTGAGAAATATTCACTTTTTAAAATTTCAACTGAAGACTGTCTATAGTCCTTGCCCAAAAGAGGATCTTGAATGAAACTTTAACTTTTTTAAAATGGCAAAGTAGTGCCATTCTTATTTTTGTTTCTTGGTCTTTATTTCTAGTCCTTCATTTAGTGCTAAAACATTAGACTGAGCTATAGCTAAGGTGACCAGATTTTCAGATTGGTAAAGAGGGACACCTTTGACCGGGGGG